TCGTATGCGTATTTTAAAGTAAAATTTTAGCTTAAAATGTAAAATAGTGCACGAAAGACGTTTTTAGTTTACAATCACTTCACTATAACTTTACAATTTATAATCTATGTCCATGAGAATTATAGTTAAATCAATTTCAATATTGTGCGTGTTCCTGCTATCTCTATATATCGTATTACCGAATTTTTTTGACAACAAGTTTTTAATTTCAAAAAAGAAAATAAACTTAGGACTTGATTTAAAGGGAGGGGCATCTCTGTTGCTCGACATAGGCTTAGATTCTTACTTCAGAGAAAAGCTAGACATGCTAGCTGACGAAATTAGAGAAGCTTTACTGACAAAAAATATTGAATGCGATGTAAAAAGCAATGAGCAAATAACAGTAACTTTAAATAATGTCAATAACCATAAAAAAGCAATAAAATTAATTAACAAGTTAAATCCAAATTTGGAACTACATAAAAAAAATTCTTCTATTTTTATTTTATACAAATCCAGCTATAAAAATTTCTTGATCAATGAAGTAGCCGAAGCATCAGTCATTAATGTTCAACGGCGTTTAGATAAGCTTGGGACCAAGGAAGTCAGTGTACAAAAGCAAGGACAGAGCAAAATATTAGTACAAGTTCCAGGAGTGGAAAATACAGAGCAGATAAAATCACTGCTTGGTAGAACAGCTAAACTAACTTTCCATTTATTAAATGATAAAGTAACTCAAGTACAGGATATCGACCATGAAACTACTGTTTTACTTAAGGATTCACTAGGCAGTCCTTATCCAATATTTCGTAAAACTGAAATAGGTGGCGATGCACTAACTAATGCATCAGTTAGATTTAACTCTTTTGGTAAACCAACAGTGCATTTTAAATTTAATAGCATAGCAAGTAAAAAATTCGCGAAAATTACCAAAGAAAACATAGGGAAGCCCTTTGCTGTTGTGCTAGACAACACAGTTTTAACTGCACCAGCAATACGTGAACCTATCTTAAATGGGGAAGGAGAAATAACTGGTAATTTTAATAAAAAACAAGCAAACGAGTTAGCAATNCTGTTAAGATCTGGAGCATTGCCAGCACCATTGAAAATAATTGAAGAAAAAAATATCGGTCCAAGTCTTGGAAGGGAATCAATAAAAGCAGGAGAAATGGCAGCTATAATTTCTACTATAGCCGTATCTTTATTTATAATAGTCACTTATGGTAAATTGGGCTTACTAGCTTCCATTGCACTATTTTTTAATGTAGTCCTTATATTATTAGTTCTTACTCTACTTGAATCCACGCTCACGCTACCCGGCATTACTGGCATTGCACTGACAATTGGTATGTCAGTGGATGCAAATATCTTAATATTTGAACGTATACGTGAAGAAATAAAATCAGGAAAAAGAACAGCACGTGCTATTGAAGAAGGATTTAAAAATGCAGTCGGCACAATATTGGATTCAAATTTTACTACGTTAATTGCCTCAGGAATAATGTTTGCTATTGGTAGTGGAGCAATCAGAGGCTTCTCCGTTGCTTTATCAGTGGGAATTTTGTGTTCTATGTTTTCTGCAATCACAGTAACAAAACTTCTGATAGAATTGTGGGTTAACCCAAAAAATCTGGTTTTGTAGGCCAAGGCTTATTAGACCTCTTTCAAGACTCAATTTATGGTAAGAGGAGAAGTGCAAGAGAGTATCACAGAATACTTGGATATATTTGAATACGTAGCTCAGCTTCGACAACAGAATTGCCATCAGAAATTGAGTTTCGAAAGAGGTCTATTTGAACGATACAA